CTAAAGACATTGCCCTACCCCTGCTCATATGGTATTAATTTTATTTGTGCAGGTCTTAAAAAGTCTTAAATTTTAGCTTAAAAATCCTGCAGAAACCCTGATTTCAAATATTCATTCATTCATTCATTCATTCATTCATTCTTTCATTTCACAATCTCAAAGATTGCTTGTAGTTCTATAGCAAACCATAGGTTGTGAGACCCTTTATGTATAATTTATAGTGTCCTCAATATGTAACATACAACCTTATCATGAAACTCTACATCTGCAGGTTCTAAATTCCTGGCCTGAAAAGGGCCGAGTTGAGTTTATGGGTGCTGTTTTGGCGTACCGACCGGGCTTGCCCAATGCTCTTGATGGGGTCAACCTGGAGGTATTACCTGGTGAGAGGGTGGGCATTGTGGGGCATACAGGCTCAGGGAAATCCTCACTGTTCCTTGCCCTATTCCGTATGGTGGAGCTGAACCAGGGTCAAATCCTGCTGGATGGAGTTGACATCAGCTCGGTCAGGCTTAGTAACTTGCGGTAAGGCTTAAGTCACTGTTTGACACTTTTCTATTCTATTAGAGAGATTACACTAACATTTAAAGGTTTAGGGTATCAGTAAGTTTTTTTTTTTCTTTTATTATTCAACAAGGAGGATGCATTAAATTTATCAAAAGTGACAGTAAAGATGTTTGTAACATTACATAAGATATAAAATGCTGTTTCAAATAAATGCTGTTCTTTTGAACTTTCTATTTCCCAAAGAACAATGAACAACATTGATAATAATAACAAATGTTTCTTGAGCAACAAATCAGCATATTAAAATGATATCTGGATCATGTGACACTGAAGACTGGAGTAATGATGCTGAAAATTCAGCTTTGCATCACAGGAATAAATTATATTTTAAAATATATTAGAATAGAAAACTGCTCTTTTAAATTGTAGTAATATTTCAGAATATTATGGTTTTACTGTATTTTTAATAAATTAAATGCAGCCTTGGTGAGCATAAGAGACTTAAATACATTAAAAACATTTTTAAAAATTACGGACCACGAACCTTATAAATACTATAAACAGCTAGGATATATTATATTGCACAGTTTTTTTTCTTTCATTGTGTTAATTTATTAATGAAGTAATATTATAATTAAATAAAATATAGTAATTATAATTAATATTAATTAAAATATATTTCGCTTATAGGCCTATTTATTCCTTTTACTGTATATGTAAATAACTTTATGTTTTTCGCAAAAGCGCTGCAGGTGGATGATGTGACCATGTGAATTCTCATGTTCTGTTTATGCTGCTTTTTGCGCCTGTAAAATTAATGTAACAAATGTAACAATTTTTTTATTTTAATGGGTCACAGCCACGTAGCCATTTGAATTTAATTTAATTCCAATTTAACATAATCTTGTCAGTTAACGGTTAATAATCGGTTAGGAAAAATAACTGAAATTAACATTCTACTTATGTTGTAAAATGCACATAAGTCTTGTCTTCGTTTTAAATTATTCAAAATGCTGAAACTTCTTCCAGAAATAATTTCCAGGTTTAAAGTAGGTGTTTCAGTGTGGTTTCAATCTGTTTTTAATATGGTCTCTGCATATAGTAAGAATTTGTTTTGTTTGTGTCGCCCTCTATAGATCAAAGCTGGCCATCATCCCTCAGGATCCCTTCCTCTTCTCCAGCTCAGTGAGAGAGAACCTTGATCCCCATGGCCGTCATCCAGACTTCCATTTGCTAGATGCTATTGAGCAATGCCACCTGGGAGATGTAGTACAGAGGATCGGTTAGAGTCGATCACTTTTGATTGTGTTCAGTTTGTTCAATTCAAATTCCTCTTACTTGAAAGGATTTATCTAGGGCATGAGAAAATAATTTGTTTTTATATTAATTGAAAAAATTTTAAAAATATGGATTTTTTTTGTCTCCCATTACAGGTGGCCTGGATTCAGAGGTTGGAGAGAGGGGAAAGTCTCTGTCTGTGGGCCAGAGGCAGTTGCTGTGTCTTGCCCGTGCTCTGCTCACAGAAGCTGATGTATAAAACTAATGTATAATTAAAGTAGAACATAAACAATGTAAAACAAATGTCTGTTATTCTTATCTTAACTATGTACTTTATTGTTCATTTATGCTCTAATAGATTTTATGCATTGATGAGGCCACAGCAAGCGTGGATCATAAGACTGACATGCTTCTACAGAAAACTATCAGAGAAAAATTCAAGGATAAAACTGCTTACCATCGCCCACAGGTATCAAACTGCTTTTATACTTGCATATAATTTATATTTGATTTTTGATATTTTGATTTGATATATATGTGTGTTTTTTATTAACTTTGTAGGGTTGTTTTATTGAATAAAAATGAAGGGAAAATCAATTTGTACAACTCATCTTTATAGTGATGCACTGATTTTCTGTTTAAAAATTCTGAACACATAATTACCTATGTGTACAGGTTTGTGAGGCATTTATTAAAACTGAGCAGATAGCTTTCACATTGTAAAAATATATTTACAACACTTTTATGATTGTTAATTCCTTTTAAATTACTATAATTATCTCTGTTAACCTTTGCACTGAACAGTCGCGTTTATAACATACTAGCAAGCATTTTTAGGTAATATTAACGCTACTTGTAAGTAGGGTTGTGACCGAATCCGAATAATGTGTTCGGAAAGTAAATGACGTATACTACAGAACCCCTAAAGGGAATAAATACGAGATGGGAGGAAAAATATATTTCAATGCTTTCTCTCACAATTAGACCATTGGGTAATTATACTGCAAATAAAAATATACAGTACTTATTGGCAGTACTTACCACACATATTACAACATTAGATGTTTGTCAGTGGTGCTCAGGATCTGCAAATCATTCCCTATCATTCTATCAGTCATCTCTCCTTACTCTGTTTATGTGGTAAGTAAAATGTGGCTCCATAGAATGCATTGTACGTTTTCCGTGCCTTTCCGAATACGGATTCACTATTCGGGCACATCCCTACTTGTAAGTATATGATTAGGTTTAAGTAAAGAAAAAGAAAATGACGAGTTCATCACTGCTTTGAGAAGTTAATAAATTCAGATTTAGTTTTTGAGGGTTAAAGGGATAGTTCACCCAAAAGTGAAAATTACCCCATGATTTACTCACCCTCAAGCCATCCTAGGTGTATATGACTTTCTTCTTTCAGACGAATACAAATCGGAGTTATATTTAAAAATGTCCTGGCTATTCTGAGCTTTATAATGGCAGTGCATGGGTGTTGAGATTTTGAAGCAAAATAAAGTGCATCCATCCATCATAAAAAGTGCTCCACTCTGCTCTGGGGGTTAATAAAGGCCTTCTGAAGTGAATCGATGCGTTTGTGTAAGAAAAAATCCATATTTAAAACTTCATTAACTTTAATCTCTAGCTTCCGCTAACTGTCGTACGCGTGAGAGAGTGGTGTTCCAGCGGATGACGTAAGACATAGGCGTAGCGGTAGCTCCGGTGAGATTATGCTAGTCTCTCGAGAATCAAGCTTTGTTTACAGCAAAAGAAAACCAGTCTCCTCTACCTCTAATTCGTGACCGTTTTTTTGTTTTGCTCTCTCCTCTGCACTTCCGCGTTCGCCTACGTCATCCACTGGAACGCCACTCTCTCGTGAACACGTGTACAACAGTTAGAGGAAGCTAGAGATTACGATGTATAATTTTAAATATGGATATTTTTCTTACACAAATGCATGAATTCACTTCTGAAGGCCTTTAGTAACCCTCTTGGGAGCTGTGTGGAGTATGATTTATGATAGATGGATGCACTTTTTTTTGCTTCAAAATCTCAACACCCATTCATTGCCATTATAAAGCTTGGAAGAGCCAGGACATTTTTTTATATAACTCTGACTCTATTCGTTTGAAAGAAGAAAGTCATATACACGTAGGATGGCTTGAGGGTGAGTAAATCATGGGCTAATTTTCATTTTTGGGTGAACTATCCCTTTAATTTAGTTTTTGGGTGTCTTGCTGTCTGATTAACACCACTCAAAGAAACAAAACCTAGAGAACCATTTTTTCAACTACCTGTTCCATCTACATTTTGAATTAACATAGCATGTTGTTTAGTTGAAATACCTGTCAAGAACATCTCTGTTACCATACAAACCCAACCAGTCTTATCCCACAGACTGAATACAATCATGGACTCTGACAGAGTGCTGGTGATGCATGCTAGTAAGGTGGTGGAGTTTGACAGCCCTGCTGCTCTGTGCCAAAGAGAAGACTCTGTTTTCCAGAAACTCTTACGTGGAGGGGAAGACTGAATTTAAAATACTGTACTTTCAGCTAAGAATGTAGTTGGAGTCCATGTGCAGTGGACAAAAAACATTGCATATGTGCAAATACCTGTATGTTATACCATGTAGAACAATGTAAAACTCAGGGAAAATTTTTGTTGTTTTATAAATGGTCACATTTGTATGGATAAAAATGTGTTTTAGAAGTAAATGTTTGTTTGTTTTTAATTGGTCTGTTCTCAGATTTCCGTTTTTTAATGATTAATTTGTCTTCAGGAGGATCTACTCAAAGTAGTTTTTCATTCTTGCAAACTAAAGTGTGAGAGTCAAACTGTTCTAATATTTATTTCTGTGGTTTGAATGCTTTCTCTCTTCCGAGAATTTACAATGCATAACTGGTTTCATTAGAGGTGTGAACGCTCATATCAACCTGGGTGAGAGTGACTACGCCTTGTACAGGTGAGCGTTTCCCAACTTGTATGAGTCATGTGGGAGTACATGTGTGCATAGTTTAATCTTTTTTGAACCATTCCTTTTGATTTTCTCCCATCAATCTAGAATTAGGGAGAGGTTTGTTATTGTTATGTCACCCTGCCTCCAGTGCAGAACAGGTGATGCTGAAGCTTTATGAGGTATGTGTTTGGCCTGGTTAAACCAGTTGGTCTACTCTTCAAGTGTATTACCTGCCGCGGTGAGAATTCCATAAACAGTGAGAAGAGAACGGAGGTAAACACGGTCACATCAAGTGAAAACTCTTCAGCATGGCACATTATCACTGCTGATATTGAACAAAAATTTAAAAGCTCATAGGATACAAGGTAAGCCGTTTCATTGTTGTTCAAATTTACAACAGTACTTTGAACTGTGCTATGTTGCGTAAAACAGCCCATATGGTATTGAAGGTAAAATTTGGTCATCTAGCAAGCGCAGGTGTTCAGCTGTTTTTGTTATGAATGACTATGCAGCGCTCACACAGTGGTTTAATGTATTCATATTACAAATTGCACTTAAGTTGTGAATATTAAAGTATTGCACAGTGATGGTTACAAGACATTTAAAGTTGTGAATGAGTACAATAACATTATTTTTTGGGGGATCATGTTTTCTAAATATTGTTACTGACTATTGAAAAAAAATTCTGAAGCACATTTTCAGGTACTGTACCTTTAATTTGTGTTTACTGTAAATATACAGGTTAATAAATTGGTTTTGTGCATGTTAAATAGATGATATACTGTAGATAATAGTTACTGGATGCTTTTTGAAATCTGTTTCAATGAAATGAGACCATTTTAATTAAATAGATGAACAGATTATCAAAATATGTGCCCTTACAGATGATCATGGGTGGACCTGGTACCTCTACAATTACGCATGTTTAATAAAGAGGGTGTGGTTAAAAAGGTAAGGTCTGTTCAGTTTCCTTTGTCTGGTCTAACCTGTTCCCAACGCCCTCTTGTTACACTATCCCTGAACAATTCCTTGAATACCTCACAGTTTTGTCTGTCTGCCACTGGGATAAATGCAGACTTTGCAGAAATGCAGAATTTGAATTAAATTAGTGCTGTTTGCTCAGTCTTGCTTCATTCTGAGGCAAGGACGTTTTTCATTCAATGATTGACCCATATGTTCATAGTTCACATGTTCAGGTCTGTCATTTCATTATGACCAACCATTAACAATTACATATGTGTCAATAATAATTAGCACTGAATCTTGGGTGTCTTGCTGCTGCTGAATCATTTATTTTGCATCAACAGGTTTGAGTTGTGGATGCTTCACTGTAAATACATACTAGTGAAATGGTATGTTATCTCTTTATTTTTTATCCAATCTGTATCTGAACTATATTTTGTTTGTGTGATCTATCAAATATTTTGTAAAGTCTATGTGTATGTCATTATTAGGAATAAATGTTAAATTAATTAATAATTAAATATTAGTAGTGCAGTTGGCAGTATATGTTTCTCATCAAAAATCTTTCATTGTGGTTTTTATTCTTTTTCTCATCAAAAATCTTTCATTCTGGTTTTTATTCTTTTTCTCATCAAAAATCTTTCATTCTGGTTTTTATTTATTTTTTCTATACATGCATTTAATTTCATGAAATAAGAAAAAAAAATACACCATGATATCTAATTTTCAGGCTCTTCTTCGAAGAAGCCTCTCTGACAGCCTGCTGCTTGAAGATGACGATGTGTCTGTAGAGGGTTTGGAATACACGGACGTGCACTTTCATGAAGGTGCAGTTTCATGACATTTGAATAATAATATTTTTTGCATATCATTGTATATTAACTGAGCATCAGATTGCTGGTACTGTTACAGAAAACTTTTACTGTGGAGAAAATGGCTTTTGCCATGAACCTTGTTGATATGGTGAAAATATAAGGAAAAGAGTTTATAATAGACTACATTGCACATTACATTTTCATTTCAGATGATGAAATTGTGGGTGCCAGTGGTCTGTTTGATCTAAAGAGGAATGAACAAAAGAAGAATGAAGCTGTGGACATTTTGAAGTTAATTGATAATGACAAGGAGTTAATGAAGCATGGTTTGAAATCCAGCAAGAGCTTGGAAAGTCTGGATATCAAAGCTCCTAATGAGGTCTGTGTACATCACATTCACAGTTGTTTTTCAACCCTGAATCATAAAACCTCCAAACAAATTAATTTCTAATGATTCAAATGTTTCAACAGGTGTGGAAAGATTCATACGACAAGCTCTTCAATGCTAAAGTCAAGAAATTCATGAAAGGAAATAAAGCTGTTAAGGAAAACAGACATGGCATACACAATGGGCCAGTGACAACCCAAACACTTGACCGCAAAAGCAAAGTAAATGTTGCAGCTTTACTTGAGAATGCAGATCAGATGCGTCTCACTCCATATGAAACAGAACCTGACAATCAAGTAGGACCATACATGGAATATCATCAATATGACTCAGATACGTTACTACAAGGATCTGACCTGGTGAGATCAGCAAAGATCAAACCCAGTATTGCAAGTGATGTTCCATCGCATCATTCCACAATGAACTTGACCAATGTTGATAGTGAAATCAACCTACGCGGTGGAACATATACAGATCCAAAAGTAGATATTGGTATTAATACACCAGATTCAAGTCTTACATTGCCAGATACCCAAGGATCTCCGGTGATGCACCTCACAAAAGGACATTTTAAAGGCCCAAAAGCAGTGCTTAATTCTTCTGATATGGATATGGAAGTACCATCAGTTAATGTCAAGAAGCCAACATTTAAAATGCCAAAGTTTAGCCTCTCTGGAAACAAGAATACTGACATCAGTTATGATGGAAGTATGAAGGGGTCAAAATTTGCATTGTCATCCCCTGAAGTAGCTCCAGGTCTTAATGGTTCTAATATACGAATTGATGGACCAAAGGCTGATTTTAAAGGTCTAAAAACAGACCTTCCAGACATGGACATGTCATCTGGAAAACTGAAAGCACCCACTTTCAGCTTCCCTGATTTTGGCCTGTCAGGACCCAAAATAAAAACACCTGACTATGATCTAAAGACCCCTGAAATGAATCTGTCTGCTCCCAAATTTAAGGCAGACTTTGATTCACCAGACATCAACATCAGAGGTCATAAGCCAGATATCACCGCACCTGACATGGATGTGAATATTCCTGAAGGTACATTTAAAGGACCAAATTTCAAGAAACCCAATCTTGACTTGAATGCACCTGACCTCGACATAAATGTTCCTTCTGGTAACCTGAAGCTGCCAAAATTTGGTTTCTCTGGTAGCAAGCCAGAAGGACCTGATCTTAAAATCAAATCTCCAGACCTGAATCTCAAAAGCCCCAAAATAAAGGGAGGAATCGATACCCCAGATATGGATCTGACTCTGCCTCAGACTGATTTGAAAGGCCCGAATCTAGATTTCAAAACACCTGATATTGATGTTAATAGCCCTTCAGGGAAATTTAATATGCCAAAGTTAAAGATGCCCAGTTTTGGCCTGTCAGGTTTGAAAGGTCCACATATGAACATGGATGCTGACATTGATAAGCCTGACGTTAATCTAAGTGCATCAACTCCCAGGCTAAATGCAGGGATAAATAGTCCTGACATTGACATTCACAGACCTAATGTTGATCTCAAGGGACCAAAAACAGATCTTACACTCCCTGACATGGACATACCATCTGGAAAAATGAAAGTTCCAACTTTCAAGATGCCTGATTTTGGTCTCTCTGGAACCAAAATAAAGACTCCAGACTGTGATCTGAAAAACCCTGAAATGGATCTGTCAGCTCCAAAGTTTAAGGCAGACTTTGATTCACCAGACATCAACATCAGAGGTCATAAGCCAGATATCAAAACCCCAGACTTGAATGTTGATTTCCCTAAAGGTAAAATTAAAGGACAAAATTTCAAGAAACCTAATCTTGATGTGAATGCACCTGATCTTGACATAAATGCCCCTTCAGGTAAACTAAAGCTGCCAAAGTTTGGCATCTCAGGTAGTAAGCCAAAAGGGCCTGATCTTAAAATCAAATCTCCAGACCTGAATCTCAAAAGCCCCAAAATAAAGGGAGGAATTGATACCCCAGGTATGGATCTGACTTTCCCTCAAACTGATTTAAAAGGCCCAAACCTAGATATCAAATCCCCTGATATTGATGTCAATGGCCCTTCAGGCAAATTGAATATGCCAAAGTTTAAGATGCCCAGTTTTGGCATGTCAGGTTTGAAAGGGCCACATATGAATGTGGATGCTGACATTGATCGGCCCGACCTTAATCTGATTGCATCAACTCCTAAACTAAATGCAGGGATAAATAGTCCTGATATTGATTTGCATGGACCTAATGTTGATCTTAAAGGTCCAAGAACAGACCTTACCCTTCCAGACATTGACAAGCCTTCTGGAAAATTTAAAATGCCCACTTTAAAGATGCCTAAGTTTGGTGTCTCAGGACCAAAACTAAAGACGCCTGACTATGATTTAAAGACCCCTAAAATGGATCTGTCAGCTCCAAAGTTTAAGGGTGCTTTTGATTCCCCAGACCTGAATCTCAAAAGCCCCAAAATGAAGGGAGGAATCGATACCCCAGATATGGATCTGACTCTGCCTCAAGCTGATTTAAAAGGCCCAAACCTAGATATCAAATCACCTGATATTGATGTTAATGGCCCATCAAGTAAATTGAATATGCCAAAGCTAAAGATGCCCAGTTTTGGGCTGTCAGGTTTGAAAGGGCCACATATGAATATGGATGCTGACATTGATCGGCCCGACTTTAATCTGAGTGCATCAACTCCTAAACTAAATGCAGGGATAAATAGTCCTGATATTGATTTGCATGGACCTAATGTTGATCTTAAAGGTCCAAGAACAGACCTTACTCTTCCAGACATTGACAAGCCTTCTGGAAAATTTAAAATGCCCACTTTAAAGATGCCTAAGTTTGGTGTCTCAGGACCAAAACTAAAGACGCCTGACTATGATTTAAAGACCCCTGAAATGGATCTGTCAGCTCCAAAGTTTAAGGGTGCTTTTGATTCCCCAGACCTGAATCTCAAAAGCCCCAAAATAAAGGGAGGAATTGATACCCCAGATATGGATCTGACCCTCCCTCAAACTGACTTAAAAGGCCCAAACCTAGATATCAAAACACCTGATATTGATGTTAATGGCCCTTCAGGTAAATTGAATACGCCAAAGCTAAAGATGCCACGTTTTGGTCTGTCAGGTGTGAAAGGGCCACATATGAATGTGGATGCTGACATTGATCAGCCCGACCTCAATCTGAGAGCATCAGCTCCCAAACTAAATGCAGGGATAAATAGTCCTGATATTGATGTACATGGACCTAATGTTGATCTTAAAGGTCCAAAGACAGACCTTACTCTTCCAGACATTGACAGGCCTTCTGGAAAATTTAAAATGCCCACTTTAAAGATGCCTAAGTTTGGTGTCTCGGGACCAAAAATAAAGACAACAGACTATGATTTGAAGGCACCTGAAATGGATCTGTCAGCTCCAAAGTTTAAGGCAGACTTTGATTCCCCAGACCTTAATATTAAAGGACTTAAGCCAGATGTCACAGGCCCAGACCTGAATCTTAAATTCCCTAAAGGTACATTTAAAGGACCAAACTTAAAGACACCCAATATTGACATGAATGCACCTGACCTCGACATCAATACCCCTTCAGGTAAACTGAAGCTGCCAAAATTTGGCTTCTCAGGTAGCAAGCCAAAAGCACCAGATCTTAAAATAAAATCTCCAGACCTGAATCTCAAAAGCCCCAAAATAAAGGGAGTAATCGATACCCCAGATATGGATCTGACTCTGCCTCAAGCTGATTTAAAAGGCCCAAACCTAGATATCAAATCACCTGATATTGATGTTAATGGCCCATCAAGTAAATTGAATATGCCAAAGCTAAAGATGCCCAGTTTTGGGCTGTCAGGTTTGAAAGGGCCACATATGAATGTGGATGCTGACATTGATCAGCCTGACCTCAATCTGAGAGCATCAGCTCCCAAACTAAATGCAGGCATAAATAGTCCTGATTTTGATGTACATGGACCAAATGTTGATCTTAAAGGTCCAAAGACAGACCTCACTCTTCCAGACATTGACAAGCCTTCTGGAAAATTTAAAATGCCCACTTTAAAGATGCCTAAGTTTGGTGTCTCAGGACCAAAACTAAAGACGCCTGACTATGATTTAAAGACGCCTGAAATGGATCTGTCAGCTCCAAAGTTTAAGGCAGATTTTGATTCCCCAGACCTGAACCTCAAAAGCCCCAAAATAAAGGGAGGAATCAATACCCCAGATATGGATCTGACTCTGCCTAAAACTGATTTAAGAGGCCCTAACTTTGATATCAAATCACCAGATATTGATGTCAATGGCCCTTCAGGCAAATTGAATATGCCAAAGCTAAAGATGCCCAGTTTTGGTCTGTCAGGTTTGAAAGGGCCACAAATGAATGTGGATGCTGACATTGATCAGCCTGACCTCAATCTGAGGGCATCAGCTCCCAAACTAAATGCAGGGATAAATAGTCCTGATATTGATGTACATGGACCTGATGTTGATCTCAAAGGTCCAAGAACAGACCTTACTCTTCCAGATATTGACAAGCCTTCTGGAAAAATGAAAATGCCCACTTTAAAGATGCCTAAGTTTGGTGTCTCGGGACCAAAAATAAAGACACCTGACTATAATTTGAAGACCCCTAAAATGGATATGTCAGCTCCAAAGTTTAAGGCTGATTTTGATTCCCCAGACATCAACATTAAAGGTCATAAGCCAGATATCACAAGTCCAGATGTGAATCTTGATTTCCCGAAAGGTAAATTTAAAGGACCAAACTTAAAGACACCCAATCTTGACATGAATGCACCTGACCTCGACATCAATGCTCCTTCGGGTAAACTGAAGCTGCCAAAATTTGGGTTTTCAGGTAGTAGGCCAAAAGGCCCAGATCTTAAAGTCAAATCTCCAAAGATGAATCTCAAAAGCCCCAAAATGAAGGGAGGAATCAATACCCCAGACATGGATCTGACTCTGCCTCAAAATGATTTAAAAGGCCCAAACCTAGATTTCAAATCACCTGATGTTGATGTTAATGGCCCTTCAGGTAAACTGAATATGCCAATGTTAAAGATGCCCCGTTTTGGCATGTCAGGTTTGAAAGGGCCACATATGAATGTGGATGCTGACATTGATCAGCCCGACCTTAATCTGAGTGCATCAACTCCCAGGCTAAATGCAGGGCTTAATAGTCCTGATATTGACACTCACGGACCTAATGCTGATTTCAGGGGTCCAAAAACCAACCTTGCATTTCCAGACATGGACATACCATCTGGAAAACTGAAAATGCCCACCCTCAAGATGCCTGATGTTGGTTTCTCAGGACCCAAAATCAAGACACCGGACTATGATCTGAATACCCCTAACATGGATCTGTCAGCTCCAAAGTTTAAGGCAGACTTTGATTCACCAGACATCAACATCAGAGGCCATAAGCCAGATATTACAGTCCCAGACATGAATGTTGATTTCCCAAAAGGTAAAATTAAAGGACCAAATTTAAAAAAAAACAATCTTGATTTTAACACTCCAAATTTTGACATTGACGCACCTTCAAGTAAATTTAAACTGCCGAAGCTGGGCCTCTCAGACAGCAAGCCAGAAGGACCTGATCTTAAAGTCAAATCTCCAAAGCTGAATCTCAAAAGCCCCAAAATAAAGGGAGGAATCAATACCACAGACATGGCTCTGACTCTGCCTCAAACTGATTTGAAAGGCCCAAACCTAGATTTTAAAACACCTGATATTAATGTTAATGGCCCTTCAGGTAAATTGAATATGCCAAAGTTAAAGATGCCCAGTATTGGCCTGTCAGGTGTGAAAGGGCCACATATGAATGTGGATGCTGACATTGATCAGCCTGACCTTAATCTGAGAGCATCAGCTCCTAAACTAGATGCAGGGATTAATCGTCATGATATTGGAATCCATGGTCCTAATGTTGATCTTAAAGGTCCAAGAACAGACCTTACTCTTCCAGACATGGACATACCATCTGGTAAAATGAAAATGCCTGCTTTTAAAATGCCTGACATTGGTTTCTCAGGACCCAAAATAAAGAAACCTGACTATGATCTAAAGACCCCTAAAATGGACCTCTCAGCTCCTACAATTCATAAGCCAGATATCACAGCCCCAGACATGAATGTTGATTTCCCTAAAGGCAAAATAAACAGAACAAATTTCAAGAAACCCAGTGTTGATGTGAACGAAACAGCCTTTGACATTGATGCTCCTTCGGGGAAACTGAAGCTCCAAGGAAACATGCCAGAAGGAAGAGATCTTAAATTCACCTCTCCAAAGATGAATCTCAAAACCCCCCGAATCAAAGGAGGAATTGATAGCTCTGATTTTCAAGGCCTGGGGTCTGATGTAGATTTTGGTACCTATACAGAAATGCATGCTAACAGCTTTGCAGTTCCAAGAGGTAAAACAAAGGCAGCCAAAACGTATGATCTTGATGATCTCTCAAGAGACATCAGAATACAGACTCATCAGAAATATGGTGCCCCAGAATTTAACATGCAGGACACCTATTATGACTTGAACAGAGACATGAAAGTTTCTGGAAAAGCTCAGTGGTCTCCAATACCAGAACATCTCTCCGGCCAAACTAGAATCTCTGGAGTAGGTCCAACATCATCAGGTGTTTACAACAATGATATGTCTGGGGCACTCAGGTCAAGACATCATAAAACAAAACCAAGTGACTTTGATATTGATGGCAACTGGAATAATATATCAGTGCCTAAATTTCAAGTTTCAAGAAGTAGAGAAGATTTAGCTGTGAAAAATTCAAATATGGGAATAAATACCATGCAAAGTTCAGGTGATAATGCAGGTTATTATAGGAATATGGTTCCTAGACGTCATTACACTACTGATGATATATGCTACACTTATAATGGGATGCCTAGAAGAGGTGGATGGGGAAGTGGGCAAACTGGCTATAGTGGCAGACAGACAATGAGACATCTGCAAATACATGCAATGGATCTGGAGGTTCCAGAAAGCACTTTGAAAGGGTCGAAATTTAACGTTCTTAAACTAATATAGTAGGATAATTTAAAGGAAGGGACGTAGAAGACAAGAATGAGCTTGTCCTTGGCAATCATGTTTACAGGGCTGATAAGAACTAATAGCATATTAAAAACTAACTTAAAGATACTGTAAATGAGCTTGAGCAACTTTTTTCTACACTACTTCTTAACACTGATGAACAAACCTTTCCATAAAGGATATGTTAAACCTGCACTTACAGTATCATAGATCATTATGCTCATATAAATAATAAAATCTTTTTTTCACATAACTTTATGGTAAAATATGTGACAATATTATGTGGATCTTGCCTGATTAAATATTGTAAATCATATATATTTTGTAAATTATGTAAAAGGCTACAGTAATGTATAAATGCAATGTGGATGAGATATACACATGTAAAATGTTTTGTCTGGAGAATGTCTCTTGTTTCTTGCCATTTTTTTGTTTGTTCGTTTTTAAGTTACTCATCTGATATAGTGAGGTACACAGGGCTAGGGGGATTTGTTTTGAAGGATGTATATAAATCAATTTAAAATGTTCCTACTAACATTGTTGTTTCAACATATACAAAAGCAGTTGTTGTTGTAGAATACTTTATGTAATTAAGTATTTTAAAGTAGTTATATTGAAAAAAGTATTTACTTGAATGTTACTTTAAAAATATCTTGCTATTTACAGAGTATTTGCACATTATAACAAAATCTGCATATACAGTCATGTGAAAAATTTAGGACACCCTATTGAATTCCATGGTTTTCTGTATCAGGACATAATAAAAAATTACCTGGTCCTTGGCAGGTCTTATATTTTGGAAAATAAAACCTCAGATGAACAACAATACATGATATATCACACTGTGTCATTATTTATTTAACAGAAATAAAGCCAAAATGGAAAAGCCATGTGTGACAAAGTTAGGACACCCTTACTGTTAACAAGGGTAAGTTTTAAGGGATTTAAGAGGGTAAGTAACGGTCAGGCACTGCTAATCAAATGCCTTTGATTAACTGATCATCAACAAGTGTGAGCACATCTATAAAATCAGAAGTTTTGGCAGTTTGCTGGTCTGAGCCTTCATTGTGTGTGTTAACACAATGCCAAAGAGGAAAGACATCAGCAATGATCTTACAAAAGCAATTGCTGCTGCCATCAATCTGGGAAAAGTAATACGGCCTTTTCCACACAATTTGAAGTCCATCATTCCACAGTGAGGAAGATTATTCACAAGTGGAAGTCAAAACAGACACCAATCCTCCCAGAAGTGGACGTCCCAGCAAATTCAACCCAATATCAGACCGTGTAATGCTCAAAGAAATGGCAGACAACCCAAGAACTTCACTGCAGACTCTACAGGCTTCAGTTAACGTGTTAAATGATAAAGTTCATGACAGTTAAATTAGAAAAATGTGGGACAAGTATGGCATGTTTGGAAGGCTTGCCAGAAGAAAGCCTCTTCTCTCTAAAGAAACATGGCAGCATGGTTTAGGTTTGCAAATTTGCATCTGAACAAACCATAAGACTTCTAGAACAATGTCCTTTGAACAGACGAGACCAAAGTGGAGATGTTTGGCCATAATGCACAGTACCATATTTTGTGAAAACCTAAAAAGCATATCAGCACAAACACCTCATACCAAAAGTCAAGCATCCTGGTGGAGGGCTGATGATTTTGGGCTTGTTTTGCAGCCACAGGACCTGGGCACCTCACAGTCATTGAGTCTACCATGAACTCCTCTGTATATCAAAGTATTCTTGAGTCAAATGTGAGGACATACATCCGACAGCTAAAGTTGGGCCAAAATTGGGTGATGCAACAGGACCGTAATCCCAAGCACCCCAGCAAATCTACAACAGAATGGCTGAAAAGAAAAGAATCAAGGGGTTGCAGCAGTCCAGTCAAAGTCCAGACCTCAATGCACCAAGAGCTTGTAACACTTCAAAGAGAAAGGAAAAATTGAAATCGCATCATATGACCCCTTTAAAGTTGGTCCAAAATTGGGTCATGCAATAGGGCAATGATCCCAAGCACACCAGCAAATCTACAACAGAACGGCTGAAAAGAAAAGAATCATGGTGTTGCAAAAGTCCAGTCAAAGTCCAGACTTCATCCTGACTGAAATGCTGTGGCGAGAGCTGGGCATAAACAAATGCCCACAAACCTCAATAAACTGGTAACATTGTATAGAAGAGTGAGCCAAAATTCCTACAGAACGATATGAGAGACTGATAAAGTCATACAGAAAATGACTTCAAGTTATTGCTTCTAAAAGTGGATCTACGGGCAGTTTAATCATAGGTGTCCTAACTTTGTCACACATGGCTTTTCCATCTTGGACTTTTTTTTTTAATAAATAATGACACAGTGTGATATATCATGTGTTGTTGTTCATGGGAGGTTTTATTTTCCAAATTTTAAGACCTGCCAAGGACCAGATATTTTTTTATTATTATTATTATGTCCTGATACGGAAATCCATGGAATTCTTTTTCACATGACTGTATATAAGAGTCTATTGTAGTCAGTCATGATAATTTAAAGGCCAACCTGGAAAGCTGTTTTGCATACAGAACGTGGACAGCAGTGTTTGTATTATTTAGAAACATTCTGGCCCATATAAGAATTGACCAAAAAAGTATTGTGTGAGGTAAAAATCCCAAAAGATTCACATATAAGAGTTAGCAAATTAGAGCTAAGTAATGTATGATTAAAAGTTAGAAAAATTCCCATGGACTTATTTGCATACTAAATTGTGATTGGTCTTCTGTCTGTCATCTATTTGCATGTCCTACTGATTGGGATTTTGTCAAACACATTTTGTACTGTACTGTGTAGATTAGTGTGTGCTGCTGCTGACTGTTTTGGAGCTGTGGCCTGGGGGGTGGGTGCGCACTCTATCAGGTGCTGTTATGATCGTGGGCATGTGTTTGAACCCAACCTGCAGGGTCATGTGTCCTGTTCTCACATTTTACATCTCTTACCTGAGATACCAATGTATATTCTAGCTATAACTTATATAAGTGATGTTAAAAATACTTGTAGGCTAAAGTCATGGAAATTCATTGATCAAAACGTGAAAACTCAGAATCAAGAATATTATGTAATATGTTAGCCTATATTGGGTCTAAATGAACAAAACCTTTTGTTGTTCGAAATTACTTGTAACCATAATCTATGGTTAGTTTGACAAGTTATTATAAGCAGTGTTGGGCAGTAACTAGTTACTAAAAACTAGTTACAGTAACAATGTTACTTTTTGCAGTAACTATAGTGTAACTAATTAATATTAAGATTTCAGTAATAATATTAGTTACAATCCGTAAAACAGCTCATTATTTAGTTACTTTTGATGCCTCAACCCCTACTGATTTGAAATCCAACAATCCAATAATTCCTAATTTATTTTCATAATTTTCACAACTCACACAGGCACATGAAGTCAGTGTATCAGGAAAGCTTGGAATATGGAAAAGCTTAGGAGATGGAAATATTGCCATTACACTGATTTTGTCAGGAGAAAAGGTGATCTAAACACGGATCTGTAAGTTGTGGCATTATGGACGTTGTGGCATTACTTTACTCTGGCATGTTCACGCACATCCATCTGATCCCAGTATAAATTATATTACTATAATTAAAAATGTTATGAACTTATGTGATTTCTTTTGATAAAATACTTCATGAAATATAATCATATTTGGGTAACAGAGAAATGATATCTACAATTAGCTTCAAGCTACACATGACAATTAATACAACACTTTTACTTAAAAGGCACTATCAAACACCATTGAGTGTTTGTAGTAACTTCTGAATGCGATCAGATGTAGATTTTGGTCAAATGATGAGGCAGAAACTTCTGTGGGGCGTGAAGGAAAAGTAATGTAGCCTAACTAGTTGTGTAACTAATAACTGTTGCCACTTGCCAGAAAGTAATAAGTAAAGTATTACTTTTGAAAGGAATAACTAGTAATGAGTAATAAATTACATTTTTGGGGTAATGAGCCCAACACTAATTATTAGAAATATGTAGGTCCTTTAGTCACCATTGTCATCAAATAAATAAATAAAACAAAATGACAATGTGTTTAACGTTTTTATGGCTTTGCAGCAGTAAAAATAATCTACTGTTGCGTTTTGGCATATGCTACATTACCACTGCAACGTGACGCAAGGGGAAAAGGTTAGCCATGTAGTTACAGCTTTTGCTTTCGGATGCAATCGGATTTTTTCGGCCTCCTGCCTCCATTTTGTACCGACTCCGTGATTTCCGTGATTTCCGGGATTTCGTAGAACTGGGTTCGCTGAAGCCCAGTGGTCCAGCGCTGAAACAGTATTGCCCTCAAACATTGGGCAGCGATGTTAATAGCAACAAGACATCCGGTTTTGTGAATCTTTGCCTTTTGTGCTTTCGTTTCACGTTGTGAACTGGTCGGAATAAGTTTACAGTGTTGGCCATAAACGTTAGTATTGTATAGTACGTCAGTATGACAGCGGACCACAGTAAGCTCTCGTTCGACTAGCGTTAGTTACTTAGTTAACTTACCAGGGTTTTTTCGGTGGCCAGTCAAACAGCGGATCATCGGCGAAAGAGCAGCCGGTTACTGTTTAACATTAATGCTGTTTGGGACAGGATCGCACATCGACCGACAGGTAAGATTTGCCAACGTCTTTACAGCCGGAAGAGTAACAAGTTATCAAGTTGACCTGTTTGTTATGTAGCCTAACTTTACATTTCGTATGACATTTTCAATGAACACACAAGTGACTTTGCGCAAGGTTTTTGCACTTTTACTGTTTCACTTGGGTTGTTTTTATTAATCAACGAGTCGTTTAGACCGGTTTTGTGAACCTGTTCAACCGATTCACTGGAAAGATCCGACTCAAAAGAACGATTCGTTTATGAATCACCATCATTTGTGATGTTCACGACATCGGTAGTATTTCATAGGTTTTGGTTTTACCTAATACATACCTGTACGTGCTTGAACCTGTATCACATTTCACGATTGTTCAGGATCTTGTATGGCATGACAAGTATGGTCACTTCAGTCACTGACTATTTAAGTGCTTGTTGACTCAGTTTAAGCATGATCATCATGTTAACCAACACATACACAGCATCATTTTCACAAGCTGGTTTGACTTCTTCCATTATTCATTTCCTTTTTTGCTCTAAAATTACATAGATTTTAAGTCTATGAACACATTGGTCTGACGTGACAGTAGTTTATAATACTGATCTTTAATATTATATGCTCCAAATATGGTATTTTCATCTGTATTATGCTTTTTAGAGGCTAAAGCTTTTAGAGGGCCACACTACCAAAAGCCTCAAACTGAAGTACGTTTTTAGAATTATACTAAAAGGCCTTTTACTTACTAAAAAAAGGTAAACTACCAGTCAGACAACAGAAGGCATGTGCAACAGGATTTTCATCAAAGTTTTGATCACGTGGATAATTAATTTAGATTCTTAGACATTTAGAAGTTTACATATCAAATATGATACTGCAGGCTTAGATAAGGTTCTATCACCTCTGGTCACAAGACGTTTACTTTTACAACTGCCAAGCAAAACTGTGCATACGACATCAAGTCTGCACTTTCCTTACAGTTAACAGCTGTGTAAAATACATCAACTGCTTATTGGATTAAATGACAGCCTTATTTGACACCAGGCATTGTTTTTGTGGTCTTGATGTGAATCGTGCATTCCAGATCAAATGTAGCCAGCTGTCGGTTTAAGTGCAGAAACTTTAAAGATTAAACTCCTACTTCCCTACATTTTTCACATGTGCTTTTATGCGTACCACAAACAGATTCTTGCAACAGTTGGGTGTCATAAACAAGGCCCTTGTCTGATTTGGTAAGGCTGATTTTGTTTGCCTGTAATGTGACAATGTGAGGAATGCCAAGCTTATTTTTCTGGATCTAAAATGTTTCGTAGTGCATTAAATACTGTTAAAAGTCATCATTCTGTTATTTCCTCACCCTCAAGTTGTTCTAAACCTGTATGAATTTCTTTTGCTGAACACTAAAGAAGATATTTTGATATGTTGGTTTCTGGTCACCATTGACTTCTATAGTATTTTTTCACCATCAGACAACATCTTCTTTTATGCTCAGTAGAAGAAAGAAACAGACTTGGAACAACTGGAGCATGAGTGAATGATGACAGAATTTTCCTTTTTCCCTTTAATTGTATAGAGACTGTGTATTTGTTTACCTCTAAAGGTCACCATGTTTAAAAGTGGGTTGATGAGTTTGTGTGACAGAAGCTGGTTTATTTCTTTATTGTAGTGTCCATGTGTTGACAATCACATGTTGATTTCGGGAATCAAACCATATGCAGTATTAGTTTTGGAGGTTTGTGTGGAACTTTCGTAGTTTTATTTATTAGACATGTTCATAGACAAAGCCATGATTAAATAGAGCAGCAATAGGCGTTTCGATAACAGCGTATAATAGCTTGAATGTAATGAAGATGAGCCATTCAGGTCACAAGCATACAGTTTTTATTCATGTTTGCCGCAGTCCTTGTGCTTCACCCATTTTCTCACTTCCATTAGTCGTTGTGTGGCAGCAGATCCTGCTTAGCAACATTCCGGTTATTCCTGC